GGCGGCTGACCGAGGAGGAGAGGGAGGCGGCGCAGATCCCGAAACTGCCGGACAGATCACGTGCGCAGAGCTGGGAGAAGCAGCCGGGGGCGGGGAAGGGGAATTTACTGCCGGTAACGGGGCGCGTTCCGCTTCGGGGCATCTCTGCAGTACACAGCTCTGAAATTTCTGATACTGGCCTGTCCGCTTAGAAGAAGCCGATGGAGGAAGGGAGACAGTGGCAGAGCTGTAATGCATATGTACGGGTCACTCTTAAAAGGGAAATCTTCCCCAAAAGTAAGAGTCTGCCACTCTTCCCTCAAAAATGGAGAAGAGCTGGATTATGCTGTTTCCCAAAACACTGTTCAGTGCCCAGCTGTGACCTGCACTGGTGAATCTTCGAGTTGTGTCTGGGATCCACCTGCAGTGATAGGAGGATCATTTTTGCCCTTAAACACCCCAGGAGTGTTCACTGCTTTGCATCATCACAGCAATTTGTGTTTCAGACTTCTTGAAGATCTGTTTGGTTGGTTTTTTTATTCTTTAGGATTGTGTGAATTTTCCTTGGAGCAATCCATAAGCAAGAGTTTCATCACCATGGCACAGCTCTCTTCACCTGATTAACAGCACTAACCTGCATTGCTGTGACATGCTGTTGTGCTGAGGCCAGCACTTCTGCACTTGAAACAAATGTTGCAAATAAGAATCCATACCTAAGGAACCATCAGGATCACCCTGAATGAGTTTGGTTTAACTCTGAAGTCCCCAAAGACTTAGTGGTGCATGAAAACCCTGTGGTTGAACATGGTGCCCCACACATACCTCCCTTTGGAAAAACAAGAGGGCCACGACCAGCACCTTTGGGCTCGTCCCTGCTCCTGCCACAGCAATGGCTGTGCTCTCTGGGGCACTCTGACCCTGGTGAAACACATCCCAGCCTGAGAGCCCTACACAAATAATTCACAGGATGTAAATGCTTTGGCACGCTGCCAAAAGGCCTGCACTGTCAGGAAACAGGACACTCAAGGCAGTTAAAATGTCAGCTTGTCCCTGGGGTTTATTTGGTGCCGTTGTGTTGTAGATAGGTGAGCCTAGCACTCAGCTATTTATGTGTGACATCAAAGGCTGTCAGATATGCCAAGAATAGGTTTGGATTGCACAGGTAACTCGCCGTAGATCTTGTTACCAGTCCTCCAGCTTCCCATTGGTCTCATTTGATCAGGGAACACAACACATGGAGGGTTCAGTTGTGCTTCAACCCCAGTGGCAGATGAAATCCCGTGGGCATGTTTTGTAAGAGCTCTCACCGCCTTCACCCACTGCAGCAATGCTGTACTCACATTGTTCACTCTCTCATTCCCTTTTCTTTCAGAATATGCATCCATAAACTCCATGCTGGACCAGATCAACTCTTGCTTGGATCACCTGGAGGAGAAGAATGATTATCTGCATGCCTGCTTGAAAGAACTGCTGGAGTCCAACCGCCAGACCCGCCTGGAGTTCCAGCAGCAGAGTGAGCAGCAGCACGTGGGAGCTGACGTGCAGGGATCACAGCCACCCACCTAGTGTGCTGGCCACAAACTCTCCTTTGGTGTCGCTAGGGGGACCTTCACTAGTCACTGGTTTAATGTAGAACTCGAATAGAAGAGGTACCTTGTCCCCGTTACCTGTTCCTGTGCTATGTCCTGCCACTCACCTCCACGTTCTGTTTTTCTGTAGCTGTGTGACAGGTCCAGAAGCTTGCAGGTGGATGGATGTAGGAGAGCTGGTTCTTTTTGCTCCCCAACGTGAGCCTGGCACTGACACTTTGTTAAAGCAGGTCGTAAGAAACGTGATGCCATGCAGGTTGTTTGCAGGCAGGCCCTCTTCACAAAGAGGGAAAATGACATATGCCCTTTTGTGCTGTTAAATCCAAGAGCATTATGGCTCTAACCTTTTGCCCACAGAGCACAGGAGGCAGAACCTGTCCTGCCTCCAGGCTTGCACCAAGTGTAACTCTGGCAACAGACCTGGGAAAGACCCTAGGCCAGCTCCTGCCTTGAAACCACTGCCTCCCCATTATTCACATGAACTGTGATGTATGAAACATTGGCAGATGGTCCCAGATCACAGGATGTTTCTTTCCCCTTCCAAACAGATAAGACAAGCTACCAGGGTGATGTTTTTGGCTTTTAAAATTGGAAGCTGCCTAACTCCTTGAGCTGACATTGAGGCCTCGGGCATTAGAGAGAAGCAGAGCAGCCTGGCTAGTCCCCACCATAGCATGAGCTATGTGGAGCAGAGACAGGGCCCTGCCTGCCACCAGCCCTGAGCATGGTCCTCCCCATATTTTGCCAAGAGCACACATGAGCACTCTGCTCTGAAATTTGGTGATCTTGTTAGGATCACAGTGGCTAATACTGTGCCACAAGTCTTGCTGTTCTACGTCTGTAGAGTTAAAGGAGTTTTTTGAGAAGTTGAAAAAGTTATTTATAAGAAATCTGGTTTATTAAAATTTGCTTGAAACAAGATTTGTTCCTGAGAGTCCACTATGAGAGCAGACTGTATTCAGCCTTGTAATATTAACAGAGGACCGAGATGCACGTTCTTGCCTAGCCTGGGAGATGGTGCTTGTCCAAGAGCATGCATCTTTGAAAGGAAACTGTTCTGAGAAGCAGAACTGGGCACACAGTCTCCCAAGAGATCAAATTTTCCCGTCTGGAAAGGAAACAAGAGGAACTAAAAAGAATTCTTAGTGAAAAATAAGTCTGCATCCATCTACTTCATTAACTCAGTCCCCTGTGGAAATCCCATTACCATCTTCTTTCAGGTTCAACAATCCAAGCCTCATGTCTTCCCCCATAATCGCTGTATCCCAACTGTACAAGTAATAACTGACACCATCCTGTATTAGACACGCTAAAGCCAGGCTTATTTTATTCTTAAAATAAAAACAGCAGTAAAGTTGAAGGTTTTGCTCTATTAAAAGACTCAGAAAATAAACATTTCCAGCAAATTTCATATGTGAAGGGCTCTCCCTTTAAGGCCACTCTATCTGGGTTTGCGCCTAGCAGAGCGTCTGCACCCCGCCGCGGCCAGACCGCTGCCTCCCCTCTGGCTAGGGAGGAAGGCTCTGCCACTGCCTCCTGGCCTGCTTCAGCTGCTTCACTCTGTCCCAAACCCCCTCCGCTCCCCGGATCCTGGTGGTCATCTGGGCCTCCCCTTGGCCTGGCTGCGCTGGCTTCCTCCTCCTCCTCCTCCTCCCACACGGCGTGTCCCAGCGACTGCCCCCCGGCGCGGGTCTCTTCGGGGAGCGGGCAGTCGGCACTGGTGGTACTGGACTTGCTCTCCTCCTGTAGATCTTCTACAACCATGATTCCACAGACATCATCAGTCATGCTGGCTAGGCTTGCGACCTCTCCTACAGAGGTGGCCAGCTCACCCTTACCCTCCGGACACCTCAAAGCTTGTTTCTGCAGGGCTGACAGCTCTGTACCCTCCTTGTCTATCCCACGACCATCATTCATCTTGCTGCTATCTGCTGTTGTAGCAAGAGGCTGTTTTGGATCATCCAGCAACTGGGAGCTGGAGCCCTGGGAATGCAAAGGAGCCTCGGGGTAGGCAGGTGTGGCACGATGCCTTGCTGCCTTGTATCTCTGCAAATACAAACAAACCAACGTGAGAGACGAGCCCAGCTCAGCTACCGTCACTGCAGCAAGCAGCAGCTGGTCCAGGAAAACCTGTGCAAAAACAGTGGTGAGTGGCAGCTAGAAACTGCAGGGGCACGACTTGTCTGGGCAGCTCTCCTGGCCTGGCTGCTGAGGCTGTCAAGCAGTGAAGGGTCAGCTCCTGTGAGGAAAAGTGGCGATATTAAAAACTGAAGTCCCTCTCACATTATTTAATCCTGAACGAGTGCATGGCAGACCTGTGGCTCCAGAGACAAAAATCACGTTTTGGCAACTGTTATCTCAGTCAGACTCAGGACTTTGTAGATGTAATGGTGCAAGTGACAGCTCTTGCTTCAGCTACTGCCAGGATGTGACTCCAGACACGTCCCCTGGGTACGTGAGGCTATGCACTGCCCTCAGCTACAGAGGTGTGATTTAATGCTTATCAGCAAAAGCAAAATTAAAGTTGAAAGCTTAAGATTTTTTTCACTCTGTTGATAGAATCTGTGCAGTTAGTGAAACCACTGACAGGAATGCTACGATACCAAGAATATCTTGTTACAAAGTACTGAGGTTATCAGAATTAAGGTAAGCACAGCATCAAGAAAATGACACATTTGCACTCGCTATCACAATGAACCAGTAGAGGTCCATAAAGAGATTAAAATGACTACTAGCCATTTTCAAGTCTGGATTTCAGAAAAACAGCAGCTCTGTACAGCT